AATTTTATTTTATTTTTAAATTAATTTCTTTATTAAGGTATCACATATTTGTCCTCAAACCCCCATTCCAATCCCCCACCTCCCTCCACTCATGCCCCCACCCCGCTATTGTCTTTGATCACTGGTTAGCTCATATGTGTGCACATAAGTCCTTTGGTTGATCTCTCCCTTTTATCCCCACCCTCCCTCTGAGGTCTGACAGTCTGACCCATGGCTCCTTATCTCTGGGTCTGTTCTTGTTCATCAGTCTATGTTGTTCACCATTTCCCCTAAATGAGTGAGATCATGTCCTACTGGAAAATACTTATAAGAATCAAAAATGAGACAAGCAATAATGGTTACGCTGAGAGGCAAATGAATCAGTCTGTAGTGAGTTTCTTTCTGGGCCACCATTCTTTTGAGACCCAATTTCATTTATGAATTTTCTGAATCCAGTGCAGTTCAAACCACAAATTCACTATGTGTGTGATAAATCGACAAAAAAGAGAACCAATCTTTCTTGAAACGTAAAGTTTTGGCTGCTAATTTTTTTCTTCCACGCCATCTTTGAGATCTATGCTACAAAAATAAGGTGTGTGTGTGTGTGTGTGTGTGTGTGTGTGTGTGTGTGTGTTAATCCATTCGGATTGAAAACCTGTTCCTTGGAATTGAATGATTGAGGAGCGCATCCTACTTCCTGTTCCAAACTTCCCGCAGCAGCCTCTCTGAGAGCCACTGTGTCTCTGTCCATGGTGCTGAGAGGACTCCCTTGGCCTTCCTTCGCCAGCAGGTGGCGCCAAGTCTTCGCTGAGGACCCATGTGTGTGTAAGTTTGTGATGGAGAGATTCCCCTGTAATCCATGATCAGGATACTGACTGGGCACTGATGCCAGAGCTGCCGCTTTGTAGCGGGTGTCTGAAAGGGGGGGGGATCTTGTCACCATCCCCAGCTCACTTGCTGTTAAGAAAAAAAGGTGTCTTCGTATTTGGCATGTCCCCCTGAGGCACGCGGTCACCCTGTCCATTGTGTAGTTTAGCCTCCCCCCCACCCAAGTGTCTTAAAACCGAGCCCAGCAGCCCCAAGGGTGTCAGGAGCAACTTGTATGGAGGGTTCCTTTTTTAGATTGGAAATGAAACGGAGGTGTGAGGCGAAAGAGGCATGCCTGGGTGTCATTGACGAAGCGATGGCGTTCCCATGTGAAGAACATGAACTTCTTTCCCTGGGATGATGGAGGGCTTGGATCCTTGTTCCTTAGATTTTTTTGGAACCTGAGATTTCAGCACCAAGGATAGGGATACAGCGGGGTTGGGTCGCCTGAGCACTTCTCTATGGAATCCCCAGCTCCTGGCTCAGGCTTTCCTCCATCCACCCAGTCCTCTGAGAGCACCCTGGGCCCTGCCCTGGTGAGATGTGCCTGTATTGTGCTATTTTTTTTAATTGGTGTCAGCTGACTCATGAGGATCCCTGAGTCCTGGGGCTTCTGAGGTTCAGGCAGGTGCCCTGTGGGCGTTGTGAGGTGAGCTCCCTCGCCCATGTCGGGAGGGTAGCTTCCTTGGCCCCACCCGCTGTGCCCGATGGTTCCCTGGGCCTCACGTTAGAAGTCCAGCATGCCCCAGTGTTTCTGCACCTCCGGCCAGTACTTCTCCTGGGGTGGGGTGTGTGTGTGTGTGTGTGTGCAAGGTTTGCACAATGAAGGGCGCGCTCAAGTTGGACATGCTGGCATCCCCCATCGCCAACCCGCCCGCCCTCCCCCCACCCCACTCCCACTGTTACCCATCCGGTAACTCCCCTGGTACAGATTCACTCTGTTCAGAACAGGCCTCCACATCATGCGTTCTATGCCTACAACCTGAAGACAGGAAAATGGTGATGAAATAAATGTCGACTGTGGTGACAGGGAGAAGTTTCTTAACAAAAGTGTATCAGACAAAACACATTGGTTACATGCAATTGTCTGACAGTAACAGATCTGTAGGAAGGATTGATAAGATGCTGATGTGATGCTCTGTGCCACTGAAGATCACCATACACGGAAGATCTCAAACAAAATGTGAAACAAACATGGCAAGCACCACACGAAACAGAAGCTTGTCTGCCGGTGACATGGGCAAGCTGTGGAGAATGTTGCTTACATCTTATTCCAAGTAAAATTCAAGAAACTAGAAGCTTGTGTCAAGGTCTAGTGAGGCACCTATGTGCATCTCATAACAAATATGCGGGTTATTATTTGAAAATACTGCAGATAGAGCAGTTCAGAAGAACAGGTGATGGGAAAAGGGTAAAAAGTTGAAGGTAGCCAGAAACCAGGGAATCACAGATTAAAAGATAAATCAGCCGAAACCGGTTTGGCTCAATGGACAGAGCGTTGGTTTGGGGACTGAAAGGTTCCGGGTTTGATTCCGGTCAAGGGCATGTACCTTGGTTGCGGGCATATCCCCAGTAGGGGGTGTGCAAGAGGCAGCTGATCAATGACTCTCTCATCAATGTTTCTAACTCCCTATCTCTCTCCCTTCCTCATTGTACAAAAATCAATAAAATATATTTTTTTAAAAAGATAAATCAGAGAAATTTCAAGCATGGCAAGTAAAAGGGATAAATCAGCTGTTGCCAGTGGCACATCAACATAAACTGTTGGACATGAGCAGGTTTCTGGTATGATCAAAACAACACTTTTATGTCGTACTTCGCATGAAGTGCAACTCAAGAGGCAACCTTTTAGATCATCTTGCATGTTCACCCTGTGAAAACACCAGGGTTGCCCTTGTACCTTCTATTGTACAAGCTCATAAAACACAGATATTCTGAGTTTTATTGAAAGACAATAGAGGTGAATAGGCAGCACCTGCCCAGAGCAGCACAGCATTCAATAGTATTCAGGAAACAACATTGCAAACAATGGAAGGAGGTCTTTCAAGAACCACCCATGGTTTATGAAAGTCATGACCATAACCTGGTATAGTCAGTCACAAAGAGCCTTTAATTGAACTAATGGTGAAGTGGAAGCCATGGATGTGGTCATAGACACCTCTCAAAAAGTCAGAGTACAAGCCTGGTCCCATTAAGCTGTTTGGAACAATCCTGACTCCCACACACTTCCTGCACTATTTGATGCTACGGGTGTGAGGGATATCCATGGAGTCCTTTGCTCAGGTCACAGCACATTTGACAGGATAATGGAATAAAATAGAAGAGCCCATGGTCTAGGTATGGGAGAGAGAAAGCTTACATTTGGAGAATAAAGAAAGAGAGGACACCACCCCAGGGCACTAGGAGAATTGTGAAGATCTCACCTACAGATGATACAAGTGCAAAACCTTCCAGCATCATCTTGCAGTACAGAAGTCTCTGAGCCTCATCAAGGAGCTTCCACTCCTCCTGCAAGAAGGTGATGGCCAGGTCCTCAAAGTTCATATTCTGCCACAATGGACACAGTTCAGTCCATGATCAGTTTCTCTGCTATGAATTTATTTTCATCCTCCCCAACGTCCATATTCTTCCTCAACTCAACACATAAGAAAAGAACCCAGGACTTGGTGCCATCAAAGTCTCTCTTTTCTTATATTTCTACTGATACTGTGTCTTCCCACAACAATGAGGGTAGATGATCATATACAGGATACCTGCACTCTAAGACTCACTTGGAGGCCACACTGCCCCTTTCCTTTTCTTTTAAAAAAATATATTTTATTGATTTTTTACAGAGAGGAAGGGAGAGAGATAGAGAGCTAGAAATGTTGTTGAGAGAGAAACATCAACCAGCTGCCTCTCGCACACCCCCTACTGGGGATCTGCCCGCAACGAATGTACATGCCCTTGCCCCGAATCGAACCTGTGACCTTTCAGTCCGCAGACTGACGCTCTACCACTGAGCCAAACTGGCTTCGGCCACACTGCCCCTTTTCAATACAGTGGGTGTCACGAACACAGGGTAGGGAGAGATCGTGTTCATAATGAGTGTGAGGATTTGACATGGTGCTGATCAGGCAATGCTCTGTTGTCCCCTCAATTCCCAATTTAAAACCCTGATAATTATGGTTTCTCAATTCAATCCTTTGAACCCAATCCCAGGTCCTGAAGCCATTATTTTGCACTGCCTCTTGGTCATAAATTATTCAACCACAATTCTCTCACACAGCTTCATTACCAGAGGCATAAAGTCAAATGTCACACAAGTATGCATTGATGAGCACAGTTTATTTCCTAATCATTTTATTTTCCAAAATTTGAAACCACCACCTTTGTAATATATTTCTCTTACCATTCTGCCTTCCAAAGCCAGTGAAGATTTTCAAGCCCAAAGGATGGTGATGTATGCTATCTCATTCCTATTGATCATTGTAACAGCCCTCAACAAGAGCCCGGTGAGCACACGTATTTCACCTAAGCTTTCAACAGGATACACTGAGACCTCTCCAGGGTATCTAGTTACTCATTCACAAAGGGGACTTAGGGGTCTAAGAATGTTTTCTTCATAGCTTCAAAAAAAGATATAGCAGGGCCAGAACAGTGAGTAGTTCTCCCACTAGAGGTGGGCTTACATCTTGCCCCCCATATCGCCAAATTCAATTTCTTCTAGTCTCTTGTTTGTGTGCAGCCCTTCTCCAGAACTCAAACCGTGAACCAGAACCCTGAACCACGTGGGATGTGAAAGAGGTTCGCACATGTATGTATGTACATTATTAAATTTTTTCACTGGTTTTATAGAGTGGATGGGAGAGGGAGAGATAAAAACATCAATGATGAGAGGGAATCACTGATTAGCTGCCTCCTGCAGGACTCCACCCCCATACAGGGAATTGAGCCTGCAACCCATGTTGTGCCCTGACCAGGAAAAGAACCATGACTTCCTGGTTCATAGGTCAATGCTCAACCATTGAGACTCACCAGCTGGATTTCATTATTTAAAAAAAAAAAAAAAACATTTCTCGTGGTCGGAGCTCGGGTAGGCACGCTCCAGGCACAAGGGATGGACTAGAGCCGCGGCGGCGGCGAGTAGCCTGCAGCATTTGCTCATTGTCGTGATGATTTTGCTCCTCAATCCCAAACCTTTCCTCAATGGATTAACAGGAAAGCCAGTGATGGTGAAACTTAAGTGGGGAATGGAGTACAAAGGCTACCTGGTATCTGTAGATGGCTATATGACCATGCAGCTTGCAAACACAGAATACATAGATGGAGCCTTGTCTGGACACCTGGGTGAAGTTTTAATAAGATGTAATAATGTTCTTTATATCAGGGGTGTTGAAGAAGAGGAAGAAGATGGAGAAATGAGAGAATAGCATGTTTTGTTGGAAAAAATTTTTATATATATTTCTAGACAATAAAAATTTGTTTTTTCAACTTGAAAAACAAAACAAAAACAAAAACAAAAAAACTCAAAACGTGTAGTTTACATTGTTGGTACTATTACGAATGTCTCCAATTTCCCCCTGTGTGTATGTATTCTGATGGATCTCTTGCAGTCCTACTACCCTCTCCCCCTAGGGGATCTGTCTTTCGTTTGCAGTTAGCCAAGCCTAGGGACACATCTTGTCCCTCCCTTGCCATCACTCACTCTGTCACAACACTTTTATTTACCGAACTCATTGGTTGGGATGCTAGCTCTACTCCACTATTGGGGAAAACTACATTATCCAGAAGGCACTGCACAATTGTGGGCATAGCCAAAGGGAATTATGATGTCCGGTTAGGGCGGGAATTCCGCCTTCCTCCATTCAGTGGACATTTTAATCTCTTGGGTCTTTGTTCAGAGATTCACAGGCTTCCGGGCACAGGTCGTGAATAGGAGGAAGCCTGAAAGGCCGCTGCCTGCGGGGCGGGGTGTGCCTGAGGCTCCTGGAGCCCCAAGAGCCGGAGATTGGCATCTCTGTGCCTCTGGTTCCTCTCTGCTCACAGCGTCCCTGCAGTCTGACCCTCCGGAACCCTCCTGCCTGGGTAGCAGCTTCTCAGGTGCTGCCGCCCCGGGCCCCGCGCTCAGGATGGTGAGTCCCTCCTGATGACACGTGGGTGATGGCGAAGAGGGTGGAAGGCGGCAGTGCCCCCTTGTAAGGAGGCAATTGTGACACTGAGCAGGGAGGATTCTGGAAACACGGCCTGTTTTGGGTGTAAAGGAAACAAAAAGGTGAAGTGTGGCTTTGCACGATGAGCTTTACTTTAATTCTCAGAACGCTGGAGCCATAGATGGTTGTGGGGGAGGGGGGGAGGGACATTTTCTGAAGCAGGATTCTAACTTTTCCTGACATTGCTCAGAGGAAGAACTGACGAGAAGACAGAGGAAAGCAGCTGTGGACAGGAAGAAGAAGTCCTGTAAATGATAAGGGAACTGGAAGAGTGAGCACTGAGGACTTGAGCCCTGAGATCACACAGGCATCTGGAGGGCACCTGGCCTCTGGGCTGGGCAAGGGCACTGAGCAGCCTGAGCCCATAGAGCCTCGTGGTTGTCAGGCTCCCAACAGACCATTTTTCTTTCCATAAATTCCTGAAAATGCAGAATCGATAAGGTGTATGGGTTTGTGGAGCTTATTTCAGAGCCTCACACACTTGTGGCCCATGAGATAGTAGGGTTGTGGGACTATTGCTGCTCTTGTTTCCCTTGGACCTGAGGACTTTGAACAGACACTAAGCCCAGAATCCTAAGGCTAGACTAGGGCTTCATGATGTGGACCTTGTTTCTGATAACCAGTGTAGTGAGTGTGAGGTCCTCCAGACATTGGTTCCAGAATGTGCAAAGGCTTGGAGTAAAGAGTGAGCTTAATCAGAAGCCTGCAGGTATGTTTTTAATATATATATATATATTTGCTAAAACTGGTTTGGATCAGTGGATTGAGCGTCTGCCTGTGGAATGAAAGGTCCCAGGTCCGATTCTGGTTAAGGGTATTGTTGTGGCCGGCAAGACCAGTCGAGTCAGGGCTAGCAAGACCCTGTCGAAGCAGGACTCCAGGCCAGGGAAGGAATGAGCAACCAGACCCACAACAAAGAATGTAGCATGATACGCTTTAGCTAAGCATAACTGTTAGTCATAAAATAGTTCTGTTGCAAGGCTCAACCCCCAGGCAGGCACGTCCTGTTTCCAGTAGCCGCAAGGCAGAAAAAGAGACCAAACCAGGTCAAACAGAGACTGCTTAAGCTGAAAATAAACCCCCACCCCAGGTGTTGTATAAACTTTAAATGTTACTGTATAGTGGAATTTTTCTATAATTTATAACTGACCTTTCTTTGTTAAAACTTTAGCCAATCCTAATCTGCCAGGCATCCCTAAGATGGGGATAAAAACAGCATGCTTAGAGTGGGTCAGGCTCTCATTGCTCGCTGTTGTGTCAGTTGAGATGTGAGGTCGGACTCGAGTTCGTAATAAAGGCTTCCTAAATTCCAATTTGGCTGACTGGCGGTCGTCATTCGCAGGTCGCCCACATCATGTACCTTGGTTGTGGGCACATCCCCAGTAGGGGGTGTGAAAGAGGCAACTGATAGATGTTTCTCTCCCATTGATGTTTGTAACTCTCTATCCCTCTTTCTTCCTCTCTGTAAGAAATCAATAAAATATATTTTTAAAAATAAGAAAATAAAATACATATATATATTTTATTGATTTTAATGTAGAAAGGATGTGGGGTGGGGGGGGGGGGGGGAGTGAGAAAGACAGGGCAACAGGGATGAGCAAATTTCTTCTGTGGATCCAGCCCACAACCCAGGCATGTGACCTCACACCAGTGCATGGATTTATGCTCAACAGAATGAGACACATCATCTGGGACAGTATATCACTTTAATACAGGGAATTATGGTCAGGTTGGTAATGATTCTAGTAGTTCAGAAGGGACAGTGGGAGCCTGAGGACTGGTTTTCTTCCTGGGGCCACTGTTTGTGAGAAGTGGGTGTCACAACACAGCACAGGGACAGAAATTGTCATGTAGAGTGTGGGGTAAAAGATAATCGTTTAGCAGTGGCCAAAGCCTTTAAAAGATGAGTGAACTGAGATTAGTGGAGGTCAAAGAGTAATTTAAACAAGATGAGACTGGGGCTGGGACATATTAACTTCTCTAAACTCTCACCAGGATTTTCTTGTGACTCTTGGTGTGGCCTGGCTGTGGGTGCTGTAGTCAGTTTTGTGGATTAGCTAGGGGGCTTGAGTGGTCATCTGTGAGACTCACTGGACATGGTGCAGGGGGCCATCAGGGCTGAGACTTCATTGAAGGTTAAGTGAGGGATGTTAGCTGTGACTAGTAAAGAGACAACAGTGAAGCAAAAGAGGACGTCAGGTATAGATATCTGAGATCTGATTGTTCTTAATAATTGGGGTTGAAGGAAAAAAAAATCATGGAGAGAGGCCTATGTAGCAGGACTCAAAGCTGTGTCTATGAGTGTGGCCTATCAGAGTCTGAGCAGTGCTTGATTCTTATTCAACTTGGCAACCATCCTCTGGACCACACATGCTGAGTAATAAGTAAAAGGCCAGGAGATGTGGTTGGGGGCTGGGTCTGGGGCTGTGGAAGTGCAGGTTTGAGAGAGGTATGGTAGAAAGAGTGATGTGCACTCAGAGAGGGAATGAGAATTCATGGCCACAGCACCATGACATTGACATAAGTGTGTCTGAAGGAAGGGTCTGTTTCTGGTGGTTCCTGGATATAACAATAAGGTGAACTTTAGGGTAATTGCCTGTAAATAGAGGTGCCTGGGTGCTAAATTCTAGGTTAAGAGCTTAGGTACCATTCAACTAACCACCTGCCTTTTGTTGTTGGTTGTGACACACTGGTTGATGGGAATAAGATAGCATTCATCAGTGTTACCCAGCCTTGTAAATCAACACTAGCATGGGTAAGGAAGATGGGTAAGAGAGAACTAGACTTTGGAGGCGGTGAAGTATAATTTTGGAAAAGAAGGTTAAGGAAAAAGTTTATCCACAACACGGCATATTTGCATTTCCTTTGAAATTGTCCTCTGGGAAGGAACTGTGTGAGATGAGTGTTGTTCAAGGAACAGTGTGCAGCAGGTAGTACAAAGCAATGGCCTCAGTACCTTGGGGATGGGTGAAGTGTGATGCCATGTTTTTGGTGTCTTAGAGGAACAATCTGAGGGACTACAATGCTATTTCTTGAGAAAACGATATCAAATCACTCACACTGGCCAATATCCCTCACTAACCTGTGCTTCTGACACCCAATCTATTGACAAGAGGCAGTGTGGCGTAAATGGGAGGTCCAGAGCTTAGATGTCTTCTATCTACTCAACTGCCTTAATTATTGTGGGAAGAAAAATATCAGCGAGAATATAAGAAGAGAGTGGCTTTCATGGGATGAAGGCCTGGTGTTTTCTCAAATGTGAAGAGTGGAAAGAGCAGATGGGATTGGAGGGTGGGTGTAGGATAGACTTATAATATTAGTAGTGACTTTGATCATGAGCTGTACTGTCTGCATTGTGACAGGATGTGAACTTTGAGGAGGTGGCCATTGCCTTCTCTCAGGAGGAATGGGGACTCCTTGATGAGGCTCAGAGACTTCTGTACTGCGATGTCATGCTGGAAATGTTTGCACTTGTATCACCTGTAGGTAAGACCTTCATGTTATCCCAGTGTCCTGAGGTGATGGCCTTTCTTCCTTTATTCCTCAGGCATAGCTTTCTCTCTCCCACAGCCAGAACATTGCCTCTGCTAATTTCCCCCACTGTCCTGTCAAATGTGCTGTGGCTGCCAGACATAAGCTGCATGGAGGGTCTTGAGCTAAGAACTCCATGAACATCCATAACACCTGTTACCTCAAAAAGTATATTAAGTGTTAGGGAGTCAGGCCCAAACTGGTTTGGCTCAATGAATAGAGCATCAGCTTGGAGACTGAAGGGTGCCGGGTTTGATTCCGGTCAAGAGCATGTGCCTTGTTGCTGGCATATTTCCAGTAGGTGGTGTGCAAGAGGCAGCTGATTGATGACTCTCTCTCATTGATGTTTCTAACTCTCTCTCTCCCTTCCTCTCTGTTCAAAATCAATAAAATATATTTTTAAAAAGTGTTAGGGAGTCAGGCATCTTGCTGAATGGGTCCCAGTTTGCACTTTCTCTTCATGGGAAGCTGACAGTGTCCACATGCACGGCTTCAACTTTTGCCCTCTTTCTCTAGGTAAAGATTCTTTGTGGTAGCTTCTGCCATGTTATGGTTTTTACCTACATAAAATATGGGCTGTTCTTGTAAGGCCCCCATTACAACGTTGTAATATTTTCTTCCCTGAATACTATAGCAAGTTGTGTTGCTCTGGCCCAGTGCTGACTGCTAAATACTTCATTACCTGTTCC